ATGGCCAACTCCCTCCTGGACACTAGGTTGATTTCCTACCCTGCCTGTGTCTCCCAAGTGTTTTTATTCATGTTCTTTGGTTCAGCTGATATCGGCATCTTGACCGTCATGGCCTACGACCGGTACGTGGCCATCTGCCACCCACTGCACTATGAACGAACAATGAACCGGAGAGCCTGTGTCCACATGGCTGCCAGCGCCTGGGTCAGTAGTTTGCTCTACTCTGTCCTGCACACCGGGAGCACGTTTGCCATCTCCTTCTGTGGTGGCCACATGGTGGATCAGTTCTTCTGTGACATCCCCCAGCTGCTCAAGCTGGCCTGCCCTGACTCCAACCGCAGTGAAACTGGGGTTATTGGCTTTAGTGCCTGCTTAGTCGTCAGCTGCTTTGTGTTAATACTCGCGTCATATGTCCTGATCTTCAGAGCGGTGCTGAGAATCCCCTCGCAGCAGGGCCCACACAAAGCCTTCTCCACCTGCCTCCCCCACCTCACTGCTATTTCTTTGATTTTTTTCACTGGTGTCTTTGCCTACCTGAAACCCACCTCCAGCTCCACATCCCTCCTGGATCTCGTGGTGGACGTTTTCTATTCCGTGGTACCTCCCGTGCTGAACCCCATCATCTACAGCATGAGGAACAAGGAGCTCAAAGCTGCCCTGCGGAAATTGACTGGGCAGAGGTTATTCATGGCAAATAAAATGTCCCTCCTTTGACTCTGATTTTAATTTCATCCTGTGGTTCTTTTCAAATAAATTAACAGATGACTGGGATGTCTGCAAGAGGACATTGCATGCCATCTCTTTACTCACAAAGGGGAATTGGCACAGGTGAAAATAGCAACACCCATGAAGTCAATGTGCTGACTGCAAATAAATACCAATGTAAATAATACCAGTATCTCTCTGTCTGTCTGTCTGTTGTGGAGCAAGGTGTATAGGTAGTTCGGAATAGGAAGCCTAATCCAAACAACCTAGACGGTGCTGCGTGTAGCCGCGGGCACGGAGTCCGAACTAGCGGGGATTTAAACATGGCGGCGCCCTGCAAGATGCAAATGAAGCCCAGGAAATTCAAATCCCGGGCTTCATTTGCAACTTCGGTTGCCTACATTAACCACCCTAGTTCGAACTAGGGTGGTAGTGTAAACATACCCTTGCAGACGAACAAAAAAACATGGGGTACGTCTACACTACAGCGCTAGTTCGAACTAACTTAGTTCGAATTAGTTAATTCGAACTAAGCTAGTTCGAACTAACGCATCTAGAACTAAAAACTAGTTCGAACTAGCGTTTTGCTAGTTCGAACTAGTAAGTCCACATTGAGTGGACTCTGAACAGGGCTTAAGGATGGCCGGAAGCAGTGCCGGCAGGGCATAAAAGGAGGACTTAGAGCATGGAGATACTGTCTCAGGCTAGCCGAGGGCTGCGCTTAAAGGGTCCCGACCCCCACCCCGGACACACAGTTCTAAGGGGTGCCCCGCTTGCAAAGAAGTTCTGGCTTGGAGTGCCCTGAGTGCCCACACTGGGCACATCACACCACTCGGCCATCAGCCCGGCTGCACTTGCCGCAGGCTGCCATCTGGGGAGAGGGAGTAATTGGGGGGCTGCAGGAGAGCTTCCACCCCCAGAAGCCCGCAGAGCCAGCCCAGTCCTCCCCATCGGGGGCTCGTACCCCATTCCTCCCTCACCTCCTTCCACTTACCCTTCCCTAGCCCCCCTTCTTATTGATGTACAAAATAAAGATAACGTTTCTTCCAACATTGACTCTGTCTTTATTGAAAAAAACTGGGGGAGACTGGGAAAAGGAGGTGGGAGAGGGGAAGAGAAAGAATTCTTTCCAGCAACCACACAGAGCACCTCTGTCCTATTCACCCTGGTAACCAGCCCTGCAATGAACTTCAGTGCCAGCTCTGTCCACACATCTGCACAAGCCACATCATCCCAGGGCCTAATCACAAAAACCACCAGATCAGAGGCTCATACAACGGCACAGACACGAATGTGACACGTGCCATCAAGGTGAACACAGAAACCCGTTGGGAACCATTTTAACTTGCCCGGGTGCTCGCTAATGGATCTCAAACCACCATGAAAGAGAAGCGTGCCAGCTCTGTCCACACATCTGCACAAGCCACATCATCCCAGGGCCTAATCACAAAAACCACCAGATCAGAGGCTCATACAACGGCACAGACACGAATGTGACACGTGCCATCAAGGTGAACACAGAAACCCGTTGGGAACCATTTTAACTTGCCCGGGTGCTCGCTAATGGATCTCAAACCACCATGAAAGAGAAGCTGCAGAACTTAATTTCATTTCCAAGTTTTATTCCTACAATTGAGGTTTAAACAAAGACCTTAAGTGGATTACCCCCTACATACCACACCCTAATGAGATAAACAGCCAAACACCAGGTACTTAAGAGTACTTAGAACCCTCTCTATCAGCTTCATTTTGCTTGGACAATCTAACTGAGTAGTCTTTTCCCATGTTTTCGCCTTTCCTTTCCCTCCCCATCCCCTCTCTTTCTCTGCTATTGATTTGGAACCTGGACCCCTTAAACTCCATTATCTGAAGAAGTGGGTTGTGCCCACGAAAGCTTATGATGCCATACGCAGGAGGGTCTCAACTTGCGACGGGATTGGTTTTTGAGGAAGCGTCGCAAGTTGGGGGCGTCATAACTTCAACCCGCATTGATGGTAGGTGTCTTGCGCCATAGTCAATGTGGGCCGAGGACATAAGTCGGGGGTGTCTGGCCCCTTCCGCAATTACAAAAATAGTTGTGAGTGCGGGGGGTCGGAACTCGCGTGGGTGCATCTCGGGGGCCTCCTGGACATTTTTTTTAGTCTCTACGGTGCTGCAGGACTATTAATTGTTTTGTGAGTTTTTTCAATCTGAGTCCAGGCCTGTCCCACTGTCCTCGCACAAACAAATCAAATTTGGTAGGCAGCTTCCTCTTCTCTTAGCTGAAAGCAAGGTCGGGGTGCGGTTGTGCAAGAGCAATGAGAAGTGCCTGGAATGGGATTGTTTTCCATCACATGGAAAGGCAGGGGGGTGACCAGAGGAACAGCGATACTGCAGAGAGAGCACAGGGACTGGCCACACCAGCAAGAGAGTGGCCAACTGGGCATCAAGCTTTCCACGTTACCCTGTGCAGGAAGGGGTGGGGCTTGGGAAGCACCCCACCCATTGGTCATGCTAGAAGCCCTGCATACTGGTCCTGCCACCAAAACCTCTGTCCCCAGGAGACCCTCCAGCCAGGTCCCCATGAGGGACACTCCCCGCCCAAGGAGGGGCTGGGAACCGTGGCTCACCTTCCCTGACCTTGCTTTGAGTGAGGGTAAGAGGAAGCTGCACCCCAAATATGGTTTGGTTGTGCCAGGAGGATGGGATGTGCCTGGAATCCGAGTGTGTTCCACAACAGGGAAAGGGAGGGGGTTGATAGCTGGGATAGTTACACTGGAGAATGACCACAGGGGGCAGGGAACGGGAGGCTCAGGGCAGCGAGCTGGGAGGTGGGGGAACTGAGGACAGGAGTGTGGGGATTTTAGGGCAGGGGGCTTGGAGGTGAGCCGGGGCTGAGGGCAGGGGCTGGCAGGCTGGGGGGTTGGGGGTCTTACTAGGGTCACCTGTGGCAATGAGGCTGGCGCTGCTCTGGCAGCTGTTCCTCGCGGAGGGGCAGGGTTGTGCGGACCAGCCTTTTCCTCTGGCTTCTCCCGGGGTGGGGTTGGGGCTGCAGTGCCCTGCTGGTGGCACACCCAATGGGACCACAGTGGAGGGGTCAGCACTGCCCGAGGGGAGACAGCACCAAGGCCATGTCACTGTGACCCCTGGAAGGAACTTCCTCCAGAGCAGCACAACCGTCAGCACCACGGTCAGCTCCAGTACCTCCCATCACCTCCTGAGCCCTCCACCCCATCCCCTGCCTTGAGCTTTGCACCCCCTGCCCTCACTCCACCCAATGGGACCACAGTGGAGGGGTCAGCACTGCCCGAGGGGAGACAGCACCAAGGCCATGTCACTGTGACCCCTGGAAGGAACTTCCTCCAGAGCAGCACAACCGTCAGCACCACGGTCAGCTCCAGTACCTCCCATCACCTCCTGAGCCCTCCACCCCATCCCCTGCCTTGAGCTTTGCACCCCCTGCCCTCACTCGTACCCCCCGCCCCCAGCCCTCCCTCCTGCAGCCCCGCCCCTGCCCCTGCTGTGCCCTTCCCAAAACCTTCCCTGATTCCTCCACCTCATCCTAAATCCTGCATCCCCTCCCAGGCCTTTTCTTGACTCTTGCACCCTCCACTCCTGGCTCTGAGCACCCCACACTCTCTGCCCTGACCCCCCCACACACAGCTTCCCCTCTCTGCCCACCCCCCCTCCACTCCCTTCTCTGAGTGCCGTCATTGAAATAAAGCACAGACATTTTCCTTTTAATTAACATTACCACAGTTGAACTAATCATTGAAAATGGAACTCAACCAGACCCTTTCTAATCTTTTATTGCTAGGAAAAGGAAAACATCTTGGCTGTGTCGACACGGGTGTGTTATTGTACAAGTAGGGTCGTTTTTTCCGGAAAGTGTCCACACTGCCCACCCGCTCTTGCGCAAGAAGATTTACAGAACAGTGTAGCAAGAGAGGGCTTCTTGCACAAGAGCAATACGTTCACATCCTTTCTAAAGTGGGGGCCCAGAACTGGACACAATACTCCAGATGTGGCCTAATCAGAGCTGAAGAAAAGGGAATTATCACTTCTCTAGATCTGCTGGCAACGCTCCTCCTAATGCACCCAAATATGCCGCCGGGCTTCTTGACTACAAGGGCACCCTGTTGATTCTTGTTGTGCAACTGTGATATTAAATCCCTGCGCAAGAGGGATAGTTGTGTATCTAGACTGAGGCATGCTCTCATTTCCACGGCTATAATTCTAACTCATTTAAATTCAGCTGCGCTAGTCCGCATTGCATAAAGACACTGAGGCTGCAATCACAAACACCAAAGGACATTTCACTTCCTGGAGATTATCCTCCTCCCCGTCAGTTTCTTCAGGGCTGCTTTGATCTCCTTGTTCCTCAGGCTGTAGATGACCGGATTCACCATGGGAGGCACCACGGCGTAGAGAACACCTACCGCCAGATCCAGATTAGATTCTGAGCTGGAGGGAGGTTTCAGGTAGTCAAACACACCGGTGAAAAGTAACAAGGAGACGACTGTGAGGTGGGGGAGGCAGGTGGAGAAGGCTTTGTGCCGGCCCTGCTCTGAGGGGATTCTCAGCACCGCTCTGAAGATCTGAACGTAAGACACAAGGATGAAAGCAAAGCAATTTGAACCTAAAAGCACACCAAAGGCAATAAGCCCAACGTCACTGAGGTCCAAGTCAGAGCAGGACAGCTCAAGTAGCTGGGGGATATCGCAGAAGAACTGGTTGATGACGTTGGACTGGCAGAAGGGTAACCGGAAGGTGTTCCCAGTGTGCAGGGCAGAATAGACAATACCAGCGATCCAGGCACTGGCGGCCATGTGGACACAGGCTCTCCTGTTCATCACTCTCTCGTAGTGCAGGGGCTGGCAGATGGCGACGTGTCGGTCGTAGGCCATGACAGTGAGAAGGGCAAGATCTGTTGAAGTGAAGACGACAAAGAGAAAGACTTGGGTGACACAGGCAGGGTAGGAAATCACCCTGGTGTCCAGGAGGGAGTTGGCCATGGATTTGGGGACAGTGACAGAGATGGAGCCGAGGTCAAGGATGGACAGGTTGACCAGGAAGAAGTACATGGGGGTGTGAAGTTGATGGCTGAGAATGATGGCTGAGATGATGAGAAGGTTCCCCATCAGGGCTACCAGGTAAATCACTAGAAACACCGCAACGTGCAAAATCTGCAGCTCCCGGACGTCAGAGAATCTCAGGAGAAGGAACTCGGTCACGGTGCTTCGGTTGGACATTTTCTTTTTCAGCACGTCGTATAATGGCTGCAGAGAGAAGGGAACAGACGGGGTAGGGATCAGAGATGGAGACTGAGTGTGAGTCCCAGAGGCACACGGCACTCCTCACTGGCAGTCACCAGGAGTGGTGAGTTGCCACAGGGTATCTATTGGCCTGCCTCCTCAACAATCTACCGAGCATCCATCTGTCCCATCTGACGATTGGGCTCAGGAGGTGGCTGAATAAAATGTAGAGTGGAGGAAAGAGCAAAGTGCTATCCCAACACAACAGGTTGGGGTCATCGGAGGGTGACAATATTTCCCTTGGCTGAGGTTGGGGCGCCTCGTCAGATTTTTCTGATTCCAGTAAGTAAAACAGCAGCTAATCGCACAAACGTTCCAATATCAAGCTGTTCAAAAGAAAAAACGGTGTAGTTGGCTTCTTCTCATTTACTTTCTTATCTTTAAGGCATCAGGGTTCATAGATTCATAGACTTTAAGGTCAGAAGGGACCATTATGATCATCTAGTCTGACCCCCTGCTCAGTGCAGGCCACAGAATCTCAACCACCCCTCTTAGAATAATCCTCTCACCTATATCAAAGATATTGAAGCATTCAAATACTTTGAAGGACCCAACATGCAGAGAGTCCTTCAGCTGTGATCTGTGCCCCATGCTACAAAGGAAGGCGAAAAACCTCCAGGGCCTCTGCCAATCTACCCTGGAGGAAAATTCCTTCCCGACCCCAAATATGGCGATCAGCTAAACCCTGAGCATGTGGGCAAGACTCACCAGCCAGACACCCAGAAAGTTCCCTATAGCAACTCCTATCATCCCTCCATTGACCTATTTCCAACTGATAATGAATGGTCAATTAGTTACCAAGATCATGTTATTTCATCAAACCATCCCCTTATCATAGAATCATAGAACTGGAAGAGACCTCAGAAGGTCGTCAAGTCCAGCCCCCCGCTCTAGGCAGGACCAATCCCATCTAAATCAACCCGGCCAGGGCTTTGTCAAGCCGAGACTTAAATACCTCTAGGGATGGAGACTCCACTACTTCCCTAGGTAACCCATTCCAATGCTTCACTACCCTCCTAGTAAAATAGTTTTTCCTAATATCCAATCTGGACCTCTCCCACCACAACTTGAGACCATTGCTCCTTGTTCTGCCATCTGT